TTTCAAATGGCAGGCGTTTTGATAGATATCATTAGCCATTTAGCTAACTTCAGGCTTCACAGAGAGAAGGTTCATCAAAGTAGCAGAAAGTCGAGGGGTGGGGAACAGAAGAGCGATTCACAGATGTAAAAGAGGCAGACAGACGCAAAGGTAGAGAAAAAGGTAAGGTGAGTACTCTGGAAGGGGTCGAATATGACAACCAGTGGTGTCTTGGTAGTTTGAAGTCAGAAGTCAACTGCCAGTTAATAGACTTTTTTGCCGTATGAGTATACGTTGCCCAGGGTGCACAACGTGGAGGTAAGTCTATCACACACAGATGTAATATTAAAGAAGACAGGTTTATTGACCACGTAACACTTATAATGAAAAGCTGCCTCCAATTGGTTAGAGACAAAACAATCATGATTGGAGATGCCACCTCACATTGGCCCACTTAGGCAGGTAATTATGAAAGGAAAGTTTAGCTTGAAACAAGAGTCAATGCATGGTAGTGTAAGAGAGCGATGCGAAAGATGAGAATGGATCTCAATGCTGGCATCGTGACCGTCATGTGATTCCAGGAAGAAGAATAAAAATTAAATTAATAAATTGCCAATTTGTGAGGAAGTCTGCGAAGTGGAGAGGTGAAAGGAGAAGGGAGAAGTAAACGACGAAAATAGCCTATCATTCTACAGAATTAGCATATGCTTTAGAGGTAGCCTAAAGGGGAGAATTCACATCCTCCGGGATTCTGCAGAAGTTGATTGATTGATTAATAAAAAAACAAAAAACAGGGTATAAAGAATGAACTAACAAAACAATATCTGCTTCCACCACTTAAAATTGCTGGAATAAATTAAGCAAAACTGACACATATTACTGATGTGTTAATATAATGTGCAGAGGGATTTGCTAGCCTTTAATGATTACTCAGTTCCACCTGTTTAAGAGGAAAAGCATTCACGACCTTTCAACCGAAACACCGTAGAAATGGAAGTGGGTTAGGCTAACTACCCACCGAGACCAGTGCAGTAATACTTACACTGATAAATAAGGAGACTAGAACGCCAAATTATACCCGTCTCCAGGACTCATGTTGTGGAGAAAGTAGTAGGCATTGTGGGAAGATGATCGCTTCCTCTCAACTCTTACTTCTCAGTTTATATTTCTACCCTACGTGAGGTATCGAATAGGAAGGTATTAATTGTCTCAAAGTCCATTCATAAGGGCAAGATTCTTTATTTTTCACCTCTGAATCCATTTCTATTTGAATGAATTTACTTACAGTTGGATAGTAAATGGCGAATACTCTTATACCTTTCGCATGTTTTCATTCTACATCGGATAATAAATAAAATGTCCTTTACTAATTACAGAATTAGCTCATGCTTAGTATGAAACGTATAAAAGTAAAAAAATGCGAATAGACACATACGGCAATGAGTGCATCTTCCACCACACGTTCCCGATTGACACAAATTTTGAAGTAGGGCATTTCGAGGGCTGCATCCGAATTGGAGGTGGAAAATAGGGCATGAAAGATGGCGCCTCGTCGCTCTTGAAGCATATTCAGCCTATTGTCATAATGCAGCTGGATGATTTTAGTGGTGGTCTGAAGCATGAAGGGCAGTTCCATGAAAGAGAGCTTCTCTGGCCAACCAGTAGAAGAAGAGGAGGAGCGCTTTGAGCGGAAGTTGGCAAAATCCTTCTCCACCTAAAGAAGAGGCAAAAAAGAGTGAAAAAGCGCCACATTAACACAGGATGTTTGACCTTAACTGCTCCACTTACTGCCTACTTAGTAACGAATTGTCAGATTTCAATCAATTTTAACGTAAAAACCAAGTTAACAGAAAGTTTCCTCACTTAAAACTTTAGATACATAAAGTTAAAGGTCCCTCAAGTAAGGTCGTTAAACAGATGCACTGAATCAAAAAATTCAAGAATGGGGAAGAACGCTTTAAAAGAAAGTCGAGGTGAAACGCAATACAAGATGAGAACGATTGAAGGGAACGTTTCTCAAATTCAAGAAAGTCTATAGCTACTCAACACGTACTCAAATTGATATTAGGCAAACTTGGAAATCATTACAAACCATATTTGACTTCATTAAATTTATAGGAATGAAATGAAAAAAAACTAACGAAAATTGATGCACTTACCACAATAGAATCATTCAGCGTTTCATTGAGAAATTCCTTTAGTGGAATAAGAGGATGACGACAGTCATTTGGAGAAATCTCGAGAATAGTGCCAATGGGATCCTTGCGTAGAGCGGTTCTTTCAGACTAAGAGAAGAAGTATAAAAAAGATAGTAAAAAGTTGTAAAATAGGAAACAAAACAAGTATGAAAGAAGTACCACAATCTACATGAAGTAGAGGTCACAGCAACATGTTTCCCTTTCTGAAGGCGTAGCGACAACTACGGTCAAGTGGGACAAACCAAGACTATAAATTTATATTGATCGATTAAAGCAAGAGCACACACACATACACACAAACCTTTCAAACGTAGAGGGTTTCTAGACTGCCTACATAGTAGAACGCCCTCGGGCTTTAAAGCTCTGCACTTACCTTACGGGCAAAGATAGGGGCAGCAATCTAAAAAATTGTGCAACCTTGGATTTTGAGTTCGATTTAATCAAACTTCAGAGTAAATAAGCAGTGAACATAGGGGATAGAAACGATACAAGAAGGTGGTCATTTTGATTTTACGAATTAAATCAGATTATGCGCCACACAATTACGCCGAAGGGTACCGAAAGAGTGAAACTGAAATGTCGAAATTTTTACAGCCTAACAAAACGGAAACCACCTTTCCTCAAATACTAGAAAATTGAGAAAAAAGCGGAATAGATTGAGCAGCTGGAGTTTGCGAGGGACCTTGGTGTAAATGATTGTATCTACGATGATCTCTCGAATTGAAAAGAACTATGCATTATGATTAGGACCATGCGAAACAGATCTCCAAAACCCTACTCCGTTTTTAATCGATTAAATAGAAGTACTTGGCTAGTTAATAGGTCTTTGTCTTTGAGGTACTACAGGGGTGATAATTTATCGGCATGAGAAGGCTAATCATGTAAGTATCGTAAGTTTTGCGTTGAGCGGCTTAATACTGGGACTATCTTAGCAGCAGCAGCAACAGCAGCAGAAGCAGCAGTAGAAAACACCACCCTATGGAATTACCATGAAGGTAGGTTAAATACTAATGCAGAGATTGAGAGCGATGAGAGACAGCACATGAAACAAACCTTCACTTTCCTCATGTTCAAGATGGAAAGGATCACACCACTATCACAGTTTACTGAGTGGCAGAACAAACAGAAGAAAAAAACTTTAAAAAACAAAGATTTAAAATTTTGAATTCTATACTGAAAAACGGCATTATTAATAAAACTTTAATGAATATATATTGAAGGATAAAAAAAAATAAAATTTACCTGTTGTAGCAAGCACATTAAGAACCACTAGAATCAATCGTCACTCCACACAGAGAAAACTAATTTTCTTAATCAAAGCTAACATTTCTGGAAGATTATTTGCTTTATTTTTATTAGAAGACCAGTAAATAATTGCCTATGATACATAACACCGAACACTAAATTAACGATAATTTCCCTAACCATATATGCACTTCACCTTAAGAGGGATTTTTTTTTCTACGTCGAGTATATTGGACACCACTGGTAAAGCTCAGCCTAGAACGAAAAACTCTTCATGTAGTCAGTGAACTTCCAAAGCTACAGCTCTTTCGGTCTCTAGCTGTGAGAAAGGATTTTAAGCATTCCAATTCATGTACTGTAACATACAAAACTCACCCTGAAAGAGAAAGACGACGAAGTGGCGGCTGCAGCTGAAGTTTCTGCTAAAATCTCCTCTGCCTCAGCTGCCTCTCTTTTAAGTTGTTCCGGCGGATCGCAACCACCAGCCAGGAGGGATGCATAAAAGACAATACGTACCACCCGGGAGACATCACAAATTACCCTGTCATCATTCGGAGTCGGCGTGTCTTCCAAATCACTGGAGGCGTTATTTGAAGGTGGTTCAAGAGTGAGACAACAAAGGGTAATCTGCTGCATAAGAATGCGATGTAGATCTAGAAGCCAGTAGCCTCCCTCTGATGTGGCCGTAGCTTTCCTGTCGGATTCGCTGCGTTGAGGGGTTGCATACTGTGCCCAAGTACGACAAAGACGCGCCTGCGTTGCCATTGGCAAAGCCACTGTCAGCTGACAAAGGTGAGGCAGGATTGGCTAGAGGAAATTCGAAATACAAAGAAATGGAAAATTATTTTTGATTCGTCTTTGCCTATTACAACGATAAATTATCTTAGAGCTACTAAGTAGTTCATGTCGCGGAAGCCACGATTTAATGCAATGCGCTTTTATAAATCTTAAATATATCTCAGTTGTCTTGGGTCTACTCAGTTTTCCAGGACATTCGTCCCACAAGTTGTCACTATAAAAACACGGACTACTCAGAGTCCAGAAACAGGAAAGGAGAAAATTTATAGATCAAACAAAGCTTTACATAAAGAAAGCACACTTGATCAGATTGGCTACTTGATTAGCCAGCAATTGGCGTCGACGATCTAACCTATCCAGGCATGAGAGTAGAAAGCCAATAATCTATAAATCAGTGCATGATGAATAACACTTAGGCGATTCGCTCGAGAGTGCACCAAATATTTAATTAGTCCCCGTGACGGAACTTACAAACCAGGCGAATTCTTTATGGCTTCATAAAACAATCGTTGTCTTCCAATATTATTAGTGGCAAAAGTGAAAAAAAAGTTTGAAACTTAATCTAATTAAATTTAGCCCCTCTTGGCAACAATCCCATTAAAAATCCACAATAAGAACCAAAACTGGAAGTTCTGATGATAGCTCAGCCGCTAATTGGTTAAGGACACAGAAATACCGTCACTATTTCACTAAGGCCTTGTGTGAAAGGGAGGGTATTTTGTAGTGAGAAACCAGGAGAAGGCGATTTGTTTACCTTTAGGGCTCATCACAAGGTTAAAATAAAGGTAAACAAATGCGCTAAATAGGCCAGGCTTTATTTTAAATTAAAAAAGCCTAAAATTAAGAAGACAAACAAGGAATAGATTTTTGTTTTAGAAGATGCATAAATTTAAAGCGGATATTAATTCAGCTAAGAATAAATGCTTAAAACACTAATAAATAAACAAAATCCTTGTCAATCGTTGAATGACTATAAAAGAATCTGGAAAAGTTATTTTAGTAAAATAAAAAAATCTCCATAAAATTAAGGAAGCGGTCAAGAAAAAATAGGAGTCATGTGGGGGAAATAAAGAGTTGCTAAAACACAAAATATTTCAAATTAAATAGAGCATAACAAAAATAGACCTTTGTATTATAAATCTGAATGGAATAGTTGGATATATGTAGTTTGGTTAATTAAATTACCAATAATAAATGAAAATATCAGTATTGAACACATAGTGAGAACTAGCAAACAAATTCGAATAAGCATTAATTAAAAAAGAAGAAAAGTAAAGAAGGCAGGAAAACAGAAACAAGTAAACTAACGGGAAAACAAGATCACAAAAGATGCCTGACTCAGAAATAACGGGGGAAAATGAGAAAGAGTTAACAATGTTTTATCTAGGGGGAAAGTGAGAGGGAGAGAGAGATAAAAAGGGATATCTAAGAGGTCCGAGATCTCTATCTTAGTGATTGCTATTAAGGTTTCTTAATTATACCCAATCCAATGAAGCTTTATGCAATGTACATACCTCAAAGTGCAGGGGGTCAGTAATGAGTGGACAGGCATACAACGTTGCAAATAGATTGACCACTCGCTGCTGGACTCTATCCGATTCTTTTCCAGGGGGTGGGTTCAATACCTCCAGTTGGGCTATGTAGGGATCAGGGGTTAACACGGCAGAAGCATGGGAGGAAGAGGATGGCGGGAGATGTGAGTAGGGAGAGCGGAAGAATTTCCTCAGCACAACAATCAGGAGGCGCTTGATGTGACGAGAGAGGGTGGTCTCTATGTCGAAACTCTTTGGAGGACGTTCCAGTAGGAGCTTGTAGGCTTTCCGTGCCTCGTCAATGTTCACCGGGATAGCTGGATCGGAGTCCTCGTTGAGAAAGAGAAGGAGTTTTTCGGGTTCCTCCTTTGTGTTATTGACAATCGGTGTAGATTCAGAATCCATGACTATATACGAAAATGGGGAAAGAAGGAAATGTAGGAGGGTGAGTGAAAAAGTTCTCAAACAAATATTATGGATTTAAATGGAACAAAAAAATTAACAGGATTTTTCAAGTTCAAATACGTCTTTAAGACTCCCTTGATAATATACATCTGACCGATCATTCAACGCAAGGTCAGGATGGTGAAGACAGGTTGAATCACAATTTTCAAGCCTTCAAATGCAAATTTTGCGATTGGGGCTAGCATAATGCGTTAACTAAACTAAATTGGAAATCTGCTAAGATGGAAGAAGCTTTACAACGGGCTCATGGGGACTCTGGGTCATGTAGAGTAGTTATTTATGATAGGATTAAAAGCTTTAAAGAGAGAAGAGTACAACTTGATGATGACCAACAAAGAGGGAGACTCACCACAGCAAGAAATCAAGAAAGCGTCTATCTTGTTCAGAACCCAGTAGAACAACATGGACGAGATATCATTGAGGAAACTGACAATGAAATAGGAATTGTCCACAGACTAGCATTTTCCATTCTCACTGGAAATGTTGGCTTGAGCAAGCTCTTGGTGGGCACGGTGGGTTACAAAAGCGTTGCAGGAACAACAACTGATCCAAAGAGCTGAACTTTGTTTAGCAACTTTGATGGAAGCAAATGGGGATAGTTTTTAAGTGCTATTTTACCAGAGATAAAACCTGGGTCTACCAATTTGACTCAAGAGAGTGGCATCCAAAGGGAACAGCTGGATCTGTCAAGTTCAAAGCTGAAAGGTTCGTTAAGAAGGTCATATGCACTATTTGTGGGAATTAGAAGGAATGATACGTATTGATAGACTGCCTAGAAGGACAGAAAACGCTCCCCTAGAATTATTATGAAGACATTTTAAAGAAGTTGAAGAAATTTCTAGCCAAAAACGACTCGGAAAAAATACAAAGTCAAATTATGCTTCATTATGGCAACGCCCATGTCCATGTCCTGTTGCTTGAATTTTGATAAGAAACACTTTCACATCCTCCATATGGTCGAGACATAGCTCCCTCAGACTCTTTTGCTTCCAATACTGAAATAGCACCTTAGAGTCACCCGAGTTACTTCTTTAGGTGAAGCGAAAAGCATGAAATTTAATGGTGCCAGACAGTCGCTAAAAAATCCACCATGAGGGAATTTACAGGTGGAAATATAGATTACAAAAGTGAATAGACAACAAAGGCGCCTACGTAGAAAAAAGAATGGAATCACTTCTTAAATCACAAGAATGAGAGTCAATTATTAGTTCCAACCTCAACAAGATTTAAAGACAGGAGAATAACAGGAATCCCTAGTGGGGCAAAATAAGGAAAAGAGGCTAAGACAGAAAGCAAAAATCGAATCCAATCGGGAAAAACTAAGCAGATGAAATTGTTCACAAGGAAGGTATTGTTGATACCTTTTGCTCTGCCCAACAGAAAATCCAACTGTCAAAAGGAAAATAAAGCCGACGGTAGAGATACACCACAAGATACATGTTTGAGGACGGATGAGTTGGTCAGTAGAAAACAAAAAAACTATGCAACCTAATAAACCTATAAAACTTAATTTACTCCATTTAATGTTTAGTCAAATGAAATTGAATTAAAATTGATTCGCCGCATAATGATATTTAAGGGCACATTTAACATTCCTATTGACTTTGAAATAAATACAGCATTAAAAATTGGCGCTTTTATCAAGTCATGCACCGAATCGAGCATGAAAAAAACCAAAAAAAACAACCAAATAACACCATCTTAAGATCGAATTAGTGCTTTTTTCTTGTAATTTTTTTCAAATGGCAGGCTTTATGATATTTATCATTAGCCCTTAAACTTTGACTTCAGCTTCCCCCATGGGTGGGGGGTACATATATAGCAGTTAACTAATAGCAGTTCATTACACCCAGGGGTGGGGGGTGCATATATAGCAGTTAATTAATAGCAGTTCATTCTATCATTAGCCCTTAAACTTTGACTTCAGCTTCCCCCAAGAGGGGGTGGGGTACATACAATTCATGGAGGGGGTACATTTATAGCAGTTAATTAATAGCAATTCTGGTACATTTATAGCAGTTAATTAATAGCAATTCATTACCATTAGCCCTTAATCTTTGACTTCAGCTTCCCCCAGAGTGGGGGGTTACATTTATAGAAGTTAATTAATAGCAGTTCAGTCTTCAAAAGCAGTTCATTAGCCGTCCTCTTGCTCCCAGTATCTCTGGCTTTCCGTCGTTGT